CCCCGAATCGATATACATAGACCGAAGCGAGGAGGTCGGGGACGTCGTTGAATTTCCGGGTCACTCCCCTACGATCGCAGCGTCGAAGGAAACTTCGCTAGGTTGTCTCGAACGACGAAGCGGCCGTTACCTTTTAGTCCTCCATACCGCGTCGGTCCCATCGATAATTTACCTATACGTACCTGTGCCATCGTTGTGCCATCGTTGTGCCATCCCTGTGGCATCGAGGAAGATCGCTCGCGCGACGGTGACGTCGAAAATACGTCGGAGGTAAACCGAACGCGTTGCTGAAAGCATCGCGATTTTCCAAACCGTTCTTACCGGAACTAACGATATCACGGTATCGTGACTCGCGGAAATTCGGGTCGGGAAACTAACGATTCGGTTAGGTTAGATACGAGCGAATTCGCGACGGAAAAGTTGAAATCGCGACGACTATCGAACGCGTTGCGTGCCGTCGCGTTCTCGAAACACGGGGATCGCTACTTCCGTGTTGCACGGAAAGCTCTGCGGAATCGATCCACGCGATTTCGCGACGTCGATTCTCGAAACGGAGCGGGCCAACTTGGAGAGGACGTTCTCTGGGAGACGAGGCGAAGAGAGAAGCGTCTTTCCTCGGTACGACGATTCGCGTTGAACGCTTCCGCGTGTCGGGGTTCGCGTTTAATAGGGCACCCGTGAAATGGGGGAACGCGATTGCCGCGCTAGCCCGGTAATCCCTTTGAATTTCGAGATTTCGCTTGCTCCGGTTGCAGGAAATAGAGCGGAAATGTTTTTAAAGTGCAGACCACGCCGAAATTCGCCGCAACGCGGAACTCTCGGAAATTCCGAAAACGTTGAAGCTCGCGAGCTTGCGGGGAATAAAGCGAACGCTAACGACCCAGCCGATTTCGAAACTTTCGGAAATTCGCCGGTAACCTTGCAGCGTGATTCGTCGAGGCTCGCGATATTCCAATCGTGTTTTGGAAATTCGTGCAATTCGTGACGATCGACGTGGCTCGCTTTCTTTAAGCGGGCGTAAACTTTGGGTCACCGGCTCGGAATCGCGTAAAGCGTTAACGCGTATGGGGTCATTTGGACCTATGCGATCTATATTATTCGTCGAAATTTACGCGCGGAGAAAATCGCAGACCGAGATAATAGAGAAAAATAGTTTCCGTCGGCTTTGCCAAGCGGTCGCTGGCGACGTAGAAAAAGCAAAGGCAACGATACCCTTTGTACACGGACTATGCAGCAGTGTCTGGCCGTTGTCTCTGGAATCGCTTAAACGTGGCCCGCGGGATCTCGACGATTCGTCGGGAAACGTCGCGACGCAGCGTTTAAGCGTCGGATCGCGCGGTTCGATGCGGAAAACCCGTTGCCGAGGCACGGTCTTCTCGATAACGCGGCTTATCCGCTTTCGAGGAGGACTCGAGGAATGGAAACGTAACGCGAGGACGCGAGAAGATGGGATCGGAATGGGAAGTTGGACGAAAGGGTGGTCACGAGGGAGAAGCGTGGGTGCGGTGGTCGAAGCGCGAAAAGCTGATGGAATCGATTCTCCCGTCGTCACGCGCGCGATTCTTTTTATACCCGTGCAGGCGAATGGAAAGAACGATAATTGATTAATAATACTAACGACCACGAACCGTGAAAGAGAAGCGTCTCGTTTGAAGCGAATTCTCGAGGGTCGAATCTGCATGTTTGATTCGTTTGGTTTAAGTTTCCTTTCATCTATTATCGCTACGCGATCAATCGCGCTTATCTCGTTTATCTCGTTTATCTCCTCTGTCCCGTTCGAATACAGTATCTTTAACGAGAAATATCTCGCGCGGCGTGACACGAGCTCGCGGAAAAAAAACGATCAATGAAATTCAACGCGACGAGATCGCCACAAAGGAATTCCGCTGGATAAAACGCAGAAATTGGTCGATTTCGTGGGAGAGAATGTATGTATTGGACTTTCGTTTTCGTTCGAAATTACCTCGTTATCGTTGAATTATCGCAAATAAAGCATCGCCGGACGAATCGCGATTAAATTCCCCTTTAAGCGTTTTAATTTCTATATTTTGCTTCGCAGAGAGTGAGAATTATTCGCGGAACGGACGTTCGCTTTAAAATCACTGCGGATATCGCGTGGGAAGGTTACCACGGTTCGAGTCGATTTTTTCGCCTTTCGAGCTTGGAGCAATCGTGACTCGCGTGGTGCGTTGGAACAACGAGCTTCGGAAAAGGGGATCATTCGTTTCCATCTAGTCGGTTAAAGAGCAGCGGTCGGAACGCGATCTCGGCCGACGTCTTAACGATAGCAAGGCACCGAAGCTTCTAGTTAAAGGAACTAGGTTTTATGCAAATTTTTCAAGGATCGAAGATTCCGAAAGGCCGATACGGAGATGGTATTCTTAACGGTAATAAGGTCACGAGAAACAACGTTGGTATCATTCGCGTTAAGAGCAGAGGATAATTTCGCCACTGCAACTATCGTAAATCGGTTCATGTAATCGGCTGCGTAAACGAGAGAAGAGATATCCTGTGATAACTATCGATAATACCTATATCGAACAAACTAATAAACCATCGGCGATATTACGGTATTAATCACGCGACACGACGCGCAAGCCAGAAAAATCGGTACCGAGCGATCCTATACGTTTCTCCTTTCTTTTCCTCTTCGACGTGGGTCGAGGATTGCTCTTAAATCGGAACGCCTCTGTCCATCCCTTCCTTCCTTTTCTATTCCTCTCGCGTGCCAACTCCTTCGATTTCCATACGTTTTCACGTACAGGGAATAACTTAGCGACGTTACCGTGGTACTTTCCCGAGCTTTCGAGCGATTCGACGAAAGATCGTTCTATCCCGATCAGCGCTTCGTTTGCGCGATACGTCGACGTACGATAGATATTTCTAATATCGCTGCAAGGAAAGAAGACGACTTTTAGTCGCGACAATTTTCTGGGCCAACCATATCGATTTTTGCAACGGCGCCGTTAATAGTACCGCGTCTTTGAAAAAGTTTGCCAGATTCGCGTTACGCTCCGATTGGGTCAAATTTTACGGGAATTCGTCGTTTTCCCGAATCACCGTGTCACGTCCGCTAAACTACGGATTGCTTACGGCGTGGTTGACATTTTTAGAAAAAGCTCTAGAAGAGAGAAGAAGATCGCGGCGTAGCCATTACGAGCGAGTTTAACAAAAGACATTGTCTGGCGCAATAAGAAGGCTCCAGGGCAGCGTTGTTTGCTCGCAAACGTCCCGGTGCACGCGTGCATCTCGACGCAACGCCCCTCCTCTCCTCTCCTCTACGCTCCTCTTTTTCAATTCCAGAGGCCGACTAACTTATTTAAGGGAACCTATATCGCGAAAGTCTCTCAGCTACCCCTTATCGATGACCGAATACCTGTCTCGTCGCGATTTTACACGCGTCTCTCCGTCCTCGAGATCGATAACCGAGTAATCGGTAACCGAGTGAAATATTTAGCTGCCGGGCAAGATAAGCTCGAGTTGGAAAACACCGGGGAAACTTTTAATCTCGCCGAAGGATCGATGTATGCATGCATTTTTGAAGAGCGATCTCGAAACCTCGTTGTCGCGACGAACGTATTTAAAGCCTGGTGCTTGGTGCACGGTGCATCGCGTCGATCCATCCTTTCCAAATACGATTCCCTCGATCGGGATCGTCCGTAATCTCGGATTAAATTTAACGCGCCACGAAAGCTCGAGCAAAGCCATTCTAGTATTCCACTCGTAATTCCAACGAGGCGGCTGGTGAAATTTCGACCAAGGATTTTCTTTATTAAAGGCTCGTCCTTGAATCGCTACGGTAATTTGCATAGCTATTCTAATGTCGCTGATCGGAAGTTCGTCGCGAGGATCGAGCCCTGTCCTTTGGTCGACCGTTTTATTACGGTTCCTTAATGATCCACTCGAGGTCTCTCCACGCGATCCCGTTCTCTACTCGAAAACGTCCCGCGGATGAAACGAGACTTTGATCGAACGGAAACGACGATTTTTAATCGTTAACCGCCTTCTTTCTCGCGTTTACTCGATCCTCTCATCCTCTGGTTCGCAGTTTTCCGGAATTTTCGGGGAAATTCGAACAACGGCGATAGACAAAAGACCGTGAAAGGATTCCGGTTGAACGCAGAGTCGTTATTGGCTGGCAAATTTCGAGACGGCTCGCTGGAAAGTATCTAGACCGGAAAGTATTCGTAATTCTCCGGGCGATAATACGAACAGGTCAGGCGGAAGAATATTTTGTCGGAATGGTCAGTTCTCCTGGAACGTAACGCGTTTATGTACATGTACGTTGGGGAGACGCGGAGAGAATATCTCGGCGAAAATGTGTTGATTTTTCAGCGAATTAGCATACCCGGCTAGTTTCTTGCCGCGATATACTCGCCGCGATATACTTAGCGCGTTAACGAGCCACTGTAGGATATCGTGCGCGCCCGAGAGAACCAAGTTACTTGCCGAAAATCGATGAAAATCGCGATAACGAGGGTTCGCTCTAACGACGTGGCAAAATGGTCGTGAGTGCGTGTTTCGCGTTACCCGTTCCGGCCGACGAACGGCGACGTCCTTTCGTTAACGAGCAAGCAATCGTTCCGAGTTCCGATCGTTTCCGTCACACGCACTCTTCTCGCGACCTCCGCCGCCAACTCGAGGGTATCGAATTCCACGCCGTAACTTACCAAGGTCGTGTTAAAACTACGCTACACGGAATCCGTACAGATAACGCGGTAAATTACGCGGTTCCGGCCATGTTTAGTCGTCGACACGCGATTATCGATTGCTCCAACAAAATCGTTTTCTCATCCTCGTCTTTTATCTTCGTTTCTCGCGAAGATCGGAACGACGATAAACGTGCCGTTTAAAGGACGTGCCGTTCTAACGCGTTTCGGGCCACGCGGGGTACGCGTAACGCGCGCGTAGTTGGCCAGGAGGGTAAAAGCGACGTCGCCGAGACGACTGTCTGCGATTACAGGCTGCGTTTCCAATGAAAAACTAGCAGTGATACTCACAATATGTGTCACTGGTGAGTCGATCGATGGTATCCTGTTTCAACTTGCTATTCTTCTTGCCCATGTTTCTCGAGAGAATCCTCTTTCTCCGCTACGATCGACCTTTTCCCCGCTATAGCGCTCCTCTCTGATCGTTCAGTTTCTTCAGGCTTGCAACAGTCTCACCGTTCGCTTCGCATGTTTCGCGAGTCAGCTACCGACCGATCAACCACCGAACTCTTTCCTCTCGAAACGGCTCGAACGTACGTGGAACAACGCGGGAAAAAAGCACGAATGCCACTCTACTTTCCCCTGTTGGACCGGCAGAACGAACCGAGTCCCGCGGGGAAACGGTTGCTCGACTTTATCTCGAGGTTATATCCAGCTTTCCTTCGGGTTTCCGTCGCCAAGTTTTCTCGCTTCGCGACCGTGTCGTGACGCGCGACGGAACCTTTGAAAATGGTACCGGTAATTGATTAAATTTGTTCGCAACGTGTACACCGAGGACGAAACTCCGTCTCGCTTTGAAAGCCTCTTTGCCCCGAATTCGCCTGCTTTGTACCGCTTCGTAGAAAGAACTCGCGCGTCACTCCATCCCCGATAGGCGTCTGGAAAAGTTGGTTTCGTACCGTCGTAGTCTGAGCGGTTCGATGCGACGTCCTTCGATTCGCCTTTCTTCCGCCACTTCGAAGCGAACCGCGAACCGCGAACCGCGAATCGCGATCCAACAACCGACCACCCTGCGCTCGTCCTTCGAAACTCCCCCTTTGCACCAGACACGAGACCAGCTATCTTTATTCCTATCTCGCAACCTTATTTTCCGAGTCTTTCCTCCGCCGAATTGGAACGAAGCTTTTGCCGGGGATAACGACCAAGAGCGAAGAAAGCGTGTCCCGGCTTTCCCGAACGTTCGGATAAATTAGTCCGGTCGGAACGTTTCGGCCAAGCCTTGGCGAATTTACTTCTCGCCGTGCGGAAACTGCGAACGTCGTTGCAAACTCGTTAGCCGAATTTCCACGGTTAATCGGTAAGATGGTAAATTGGAGGATTCGCAGCTGCGCGGATACGCGATGTACGAGAGTAGGAAGGAAAGAAGACGATTTATAAATCGCTCCGATGAACGATACCGAGGAGAACTTTGTTTCACGCGTCGCCGAAATCTCTCTGCCAGCGAAAATAGAAAGTAAATCCGGAAAGTCAAACGGTCGACTCGTTCAGGGTCTGAACGTAGAAGGGTGGAAGGATGGCGAAAGAAAAAAATTCGTGGTTGATAAATGTTGCGCGCAGTCTAGGAAAGCGATAGCCTCCGATCGGAAGGATTAAACCGGAAGGCGATTGCTTCCGACATAAACGCGATCAGCGGTCGATTCGTTTCGTTTGACGTAATATCGGAATTTCATCGAAAAATATCCTCGTTTCTCTTTGTCGGAAAACGTTGTTGGAAAACGAACTCGACGGAGGGAAAATAAATGAAAATTTGGAAGTTTCGAAGGGGGAAACTCGTCTCGTCGATGAAGGTAATTAACGTGATACACGACTATTCCTATTTCGTTGTTCTAGCACTGCCTTTCCTCCATTACGTTAATCTTCCCGAGAATAATTGCTTCGTTATTCGATGCATTATTCAGGAACGCTTCCCCGAAGGATAACAGACTGCGACGTTGCGTAAGTCATAATCCACGGATAATTCGCATGGTCCGACTAACGACCGTTCTATTTCGAATAGTGGATCTGTCGTTGAACGTTCGAACGGGAAGACTAACGGTTCGACGAAGCGTTACCGCCTATCGTTCCTTCGCTGTCGCGTATACGCGTCTACTCTGAAATTCGTATGGAAATGAAGCGTTAATGCGAGACCATTTCGCGCTCGACACAATGGCAGCGGCGTGTTTCGCCGTATCGTGGCAATTGGGCGCCACCGCGCCGCTATAACCGCGAGGAAACGTTTTCGGAAGCGAGCGAGAGATTGTTGGCACGCTTATCGCGTTTCGCGAGCACGTATAAAGTATAGTCGAGTCGACTTGAATTATTTACCTCGGCCGCCACTTGCACCTGCAGCCAGTCGAGGCCTGGCTAGTCTGGGTACCCTTGGCCTCGACTCGTCGCGATGAACCCGCGGAATGCGCTTTTTTCCCTCGCTTCTCGCACCTTGCCTATTCTATCGTTCTCACGGCTAATCGAAAACAGGCTCTCTCCGATTTCACCGTAGATAGATCTCGTATGCCGAGAACGACGCGATGCAACGCGTAGCACGATCGGCAGTCCGAAGCTTCTGCTTCCAATCTGCGCCACTCGTTCCACCAATTATCTATTCGATTAAACGATCGACCTCGTATGCCGAGAACGACGCGATGCAACGCGTAGCACGATCGGCAGGCCGAAGCTTCTGCTTCCAATCTGCGCCACTCGTTCCACCAATTATCTATTCGATTAAACGATCGACGATAAACTTTTCCATTTCAACGGGCGATCGACGAAGGAGGACAAAACGAAAATTCGACTATCGCGAGATGAAAGTCGCTCGCGCGAACAAAAGCGCAAGTTTCGAGCTGGAACACGCTCCAGTTCGAGTTCGAAGCGATTTCATCGCTGGACAGTAACGCGATTCCTGTAATTCCCTTAAACGCGAGCAAAATATCTTCGATCGGATATTCTAGCGAGAATTAGGCAATCGTCCTCTCGGACCGGAAATGCCAGAATAAGAGAAGACGAGGAATTGCCGTTGGTTTGCACGCTGTAGCGGTGAAACGTCTTGGCGGAGAAACGATTAGAGACGCGTCGAGGAAGCTAAACGTCGAACAAGGACGTTGAGTGGTCGCGTGTGAGCCGACAGGTAAGCTCGTGTCGAACAGAACAAACGCGTTCGAAGAAAACAAATAGAAATCGGAGCACACCGATCATTCTGTTGCGAGGCTGGAGCGTTATCGAATTACCGGATATTCCACTCTGTCGGGCGATATTGGCAGAAGTAGCCGACGATAGCTGCGCGCTCTCGACTCGTTGTTTCGATACGCGACCGACGTCGGTGAAAATCGCGATACAAAATTTCCTCGATATCACTTACTCTGTCTTTCGCGATAATCCACGCGTATCGAATATCGTTATCCGTGATTGGACAACGATCGAGGAACAAAAGAACCAGGCGATTCACCGTGTCCACGTTTACAGCGTTTTCGAGAATTCGTTGAAACTCGTTGGGACGGAAGATCGCGACGGACACGCGTGGAAGAATTTGAACGGAACGCTAGCGTTGGAAACTCCTCGATGTCGCATCGGTGATTATCGTTTACGGAATTACGCAACGAGAGCGAGAACGCGACGCGCGTGACGCGACGAAGAGGATATCACACTTATCAATCGAGTGAACCATTCCGTTAGACGGTTTTTAACCTCGCGTGGAACGCACCGAACCGTCGTAATCGAGTTTCATCGCGCACCGTCGAAAACTGCAGTGGGTGAGCGCAGTGATAATCGGAAAACTGGCCGCGTACCGACGTACGCGTCGACGAGCGCGAGGAACGAAGCGTGGGACAACGGTGGAAACTGCGGCGTTCGGACGTTTGATCGGTGGCCGGAAGATGCTGGCCGGTTTTTGCGCGTTTCCCGCAAAGGAACGCAGAGAGAAAGGGCGACGAAACGGTGTGGAAACTGGGCGAAGAAACGGCAGATTCGCGACAGATTCGCGGCCGGGATGCAAGTCGGTGGAGGAGGCGTTGCGGAGATTTAGCTGGTCGCAGCACTGGGTCCGTTCCATTTCGCGTATCTGGTCTCGTGGAAGGAATCGAGAGATCGATCGACTCGGTTGATCGTTCGAGATTGGAGCAGCAGGCGGATTTCCCTGGCGATTCGGCAGGTGGCAAGTTCTCGGATACGCGCGAGGATCGACGGAGGCTTCGAAGTTAGCGGTTTTCATTCATGAATTCTCACCGCTGTTGTGAAACGATCGGTGGAAAAACGCGGACCAGTGACGTCATAGCGTCGCGGTGCCTGGCGTCAGACTGGCTCGCCGATGGCATTACGTGCCAGTGCGTTGCTACTGATTCGCGCAAGCGCGAACCACCGCTCAAACCGGAGAATCCTCGATCGTTCCCTCTTTCTTTCCTCTCCACTCTCCCTGTTCCTTCCCTCTCGCTCCCTTTCCCATTCTCCGTCGCCCCTCCGCAACCCTTCGCGCGTCCTCCCACTCCCAGTCCTCCGCACCTTTCGCTCCTCTCTTACTCTCTTCTTCTCTCTTCCTACCCCAGATACCACATTCGCTCTATGCTTTCGTTTCTCTATTCGCGATACCCACCACCGCGGAGATCGCGAGATCTGTCATCCTCTTTGCCTACCCTCCATTTCCCCTTTCTTTTCACCTTTCCTTCTTTCTTTCCGTCTTTCCACCCCTCTATCCTCCGCGTTATATTCCGCGTTCTCTATTTACCCATCTGCCTCCACTTTTCACCACCAACGAGAATTTTCCGTCGCTGTTTATCACACGATCGCCTCCAGATTTCTTCCATAGATTTACGAATCCACCCTCCCACCCATCCAAGCCACTCGATACTCGCGTTTCGTCCTCCTTATCCCAATCTGTCGATATTAAACGGCTCGATTCTTTCGTTTCTTTATCCGATTTCCCAACCCTTTGCTCCGCGACCGCGTTCTCTCCTTTGCTCCCCCATGCTGTTCCGCGGTTCGAAGAATATATCGCTCGTTCGTAACTCGTTACACCGCTACTTTCGTTATTTGTCCACGTTTTGTCAAGCTTACCCTTATGCAGTCGCGTCTACCACGCGTAATAAATGTACCGCTTATCTCGCTTCCCGTCTCTCCCATCTTCCCTCTCGTAAGTGAATAATAAAGCGTACGTATTCGCGCTTTCGTGGAAACGAATGTGGCGCGTGGGTGAAATTACCAAGCCTTTCCGAGCGTAAAAATCGCCTGTCGAATCGATAGGGGCAACGGAGACGGGAAATATATCTCGTTGCTGTAGGAAAAAGACGAAAAATCGGTACTAAGAAGCAATTATATCCCGGTTGTCCTCGCAGAAAACGCGAAGACTCGACGTTTCCGTGTCGTTCGTTCGAATCGTTCTGATAAAAT